AATATCAGTTCCTTTTAATTAAAAATCTCATGTATTAGTTATACACACCCATACATAAAATGCGCCATTATTAAATAATTTGTTAAATAATCTATGCATTAACGTTTATAAAACTTATTTCGTTTATCTTTCAAGAGTAATAAATTTTCTATTTACAGTTGATATTTATATAAAAAATATTGAACCTCGTACAATTTTCTATTACATTATGATTATAACCTTAAATTTGTATAGGTATACTTCTTTTAGTTTCGCATCGTAAAAGTGCTACATACATGTATCTATAGCAGTGATGCCAGACGGGACGGTATTCCCCTCAAAGTAGAGCTCAGCACTCTAGAGGCTCGCAAGCTTTTGGCTGACGCAAGTATAGTACAGCTCGAAAGAGTCTCTACCCCAGTTCCCCTACTCCTACTTTCCCTCTCCCTGTGGTATATAAATGGTTAACCCAATCCCGCTTCACAGCTTATGTATAACATCTGTACCTGCTCCACCGTAAAGCGCGGTAGCCGAGTGGGCTACATAGTTTATGTTTTGGCTGGTCATACCTTCGAATCGCAGGCGCGGTAACTTTTTTTCTTTCTTTTTCTTTTTCTTTTTTTTTTCTTTACGGCTACCACATTAAATTTTTTTTTACAATAAATTGATGGTTACAAAAAGTGCGTTGACAATTAATTTTTAACGTATTAATTTATGTTTACGTTTTACAAATTTTAGCCATAGTTACTGCCGACAAATTACTACAAAGCTTCCTGAAGCATAAGGGTCACTATAAATTATAAATAAAAAACATTTGAAGCCCTTGATTATTAAAATCTGTCAAAGTGCATCTAATATTTATAATTATTATGCAATTTAGTATTATTGAACCTGTTTTTCGTAACTACCTTAAATACTTAGTGATGTATTTTTTTTTAAAAGAATTTTATTTATTGCAGGTAAGGCAACAATTTTTTATACGTAATTGAGTGCAGCGTTCAATTATGTGTTTACATTTTATAAAGCACGAATATAAACACTTGACAACACATACAACAAATTTTCATAAAATAAAACACTTCTATAGGGTGAAAAATTAATTTTATTACCATAGCTACAAAATGCAATTGCCACTTTACGTACTTGAAACAACTTTGTGCATGAGCAGAAAATGGGCTCATGGGCGAAAAATAGCACTTTACGCCCTCTATAAAAAAATACACGACTTACTCGCAAACTGGAATAATGTTGTTTTAGTTGTAAGTGCACCAAAACTTTTAATTTTCCTTGAAAAGTTTTGCATTTTAAACTACATAATTATTTTTAACAAATGTCACGTATGTACAATACGGATTTACATGTTACGTAGGTACTTTTTTTATGAAACTCCAGTTGCAAGTACACATATATAAATGGTTATACAAAAATGAGAAACGTTCGAGGTAAAGTTTACTGGAATGACGAAAAATTTTTTTGGAAACACATCTCTGGAAAATTTTTGTACGTTGTAGATTTACGACAAAAAAACCAACACTTTGTTAATTAACATGGTTCACAGTGCGTTCTTTTTTTAAGTATCAAATTTAAAATTACATTTTTAAATTGTTTCCCCTCTTGTTGCTATGACTTAAAATAAAAACTGCAGTGTGTTCCAAAAAAAAAAAAAAACAGAGTGATTAAAATTTATAGATATTTCATTACCAAAAAATAAAAAGATCGAGATTATGCCTCAATTACTGTTTTACAACTGTTAAATTAGGTTTATAAGGAAGAAAGACTTTAAAAATATTTTTTGTACTCGAATCAAAAAACTTATAAAACTGTTACTGTTGAACTTATCAAGTCTCTTGTAAGTCTTATTATCTTCACTATAGTAAGTTAATACGTTTCTGTTAAGTTTATTACAAAATTTTTTTGTTTAAGAAGCAAGCGAAATCAATATAATAAGCCAGTATGACTCTCTAAATTGAGCACTTGTTACATTTACCAAATATTTTTTAACATTTATCATTAGATTTCCACTTCCTGGGGAATTAAATGGTAAAACGTGTTTTCTCTAATCCTCAATAACAATTTTAAAAAATTAATACCTAACGAACAGACAATGACATTCAATTAAGAAACATAAAAGACTTCTACAAAAATGATGATTCAAGAGTCTCCGCTACAACGATAGTTTCATTACGGTTTCTTCATGATATAAAGAATTTGATGATAATCTTCTTCGAAAACTCGTAATTTGTTTCTAAAATGTATGCTTATATTGCATAAAAGACGCGAAGTCTGCTTGACTTCTTTAAAGACTTTTTGTGGAATCATGTAAGCCTCATATATATATGTACATAAATATATATCCTGAATAATTGGTTCAACATTGCGTAAGCTTCTTTTTATATTACATCTCTAAAAATATTCTTTCTATACTGTTAAAGACCAAAAGCAAATGAGAGGTTCTATGACTGGGCATTACTTTTGAAAGAAATACGGATGCAATGCCAATCCATGCCATCAATAAAATTTGCTTATCTTGAAAAATAAAGAATTTAATTACTTAAATGGTGATAAGGAAGTTTATTTTGACTATCCAGAACCACCAATTAAATGAATTCTATACATTTACCTACATATAACTAAAAAAGAAAATTGTTTTGATTTATTTTGATTATCTTTTAACTAAAAATACATTAAGTCAATTATGTATTTCCAGAATGAGACTTATTTAGTTTGTTAATTTTGGTTTAAGTGAAATTTTTTGGAAAAGGTAAATGAAAGACAAGCATAATTTATTTTTAAATTTAAAAATATTCTTTATGAACAAAAGAGCATGGTTTTCTATATATTAAGAACATAATATTCTGTTAGATAGTTTTGATATTTTTTCTATATTCTACCGTCGTAGATGTTTTCTGAAATTTAAATCCATGCAAAAAATTCTTGTTATTGTAAAGCAAATATAATTGCCATAGCTCGTTTAAAATTTTATCGACTTGAGTGTCATGGTCAACTAAACTCATAGCGATTACAGTATTCTCATATCTTTAATGATTGCCCATGATTATTTAAGTAAAATCACACTGTCAGCGCTATCTGACATTTTTTAATTAAATTTTCAATTATATTACCTTGAAAAATTTCTTTTGCTTATTTTTAAGATGCATTTGTCAAATCAACACTGTAATTTTTATCACAGATTAAAAACTGTTACAATGTATATACTGCTTTCATCGGAAATGATGAAATACGTATGATTGTAAAAAAGTTTTAAAAACATTAAATTTTACTCAAAACCATCACCTATATATAATGAGGACTTATTCTATACAGTTTTTTTAAGGGCCAATATTTCAGCTCATGTACCTATGTAGATAGCCAGTAATTTCCGAAAAAAACAGCATTTTCTTAAGTTACTACTGGTTGTCTGTGTCCTTCATCTGCACAATTTTGCAGCATAGGGAGCTCTTTTTTATTAGTTTTACATTTCCTTAACCGTTTTTTTTTTTTAGTTCCTACACTGGTATCAACCAGTTTACTCGCTGTATTTTTTATGTTGGTTATTCCCTTTTTCCCACACCTGTCATAATGTAAAATTTCTTTATTCTGATCCCATTTTCTGCCTCTCTTTCATTGCATTTATTCTGTTACTTGCTCCTTTTCGTTCAACGTTTCCACTTTTTGCTGATGATCAGTGTTGCAGAAGTACTCTAAACACCGTTCTAAAAATTCTCCCTATGTACACGACGTAACCTACCTTGACCTGGTTTAGCTGTACTCATCTTCTGCATTCATAATATGATTTTTGGTACCATCCGTATCTTGTATTATTTTTCAACTCACGGACCCAAGTTGAACCCCAAAAGTTGGGATTCAAATTAGCTACAATTTCCTGTTATGTAAGAATAGGTGAGCTTAGGGTTGCCAAGAATCTAACTACCTGTAATTTAAAACAACTTAACACTGTATTTAAACTTTAGTATAGAAGCCAGCACGCATGAGTCTTAGTTTGAAAAGACCAATATACAGAGTGGTCAGCTGGAGCTTTTCACCACTATTCAGGCGATTCATTTACTCTGTATCTTTTGCTGATGTGCTACAATCAATGAGTTTACGTTGCAAACAAACAAAAGCTTTATGTATTTGTAATTACGTACCTTACGTTATAGTATTACTTAATTTTTTCAAAATAAATTAATTTTGTTAGATATAGTGCTTGATATCGCGTCAATATAAGAAAATCTATGCTACTTATCCACGAGAGAAAAGGTAGAATTCACGTTTACGATAGTCAAGAACAGGGTGTGAAGGGTACCCCTTTTGATCTTTAAATAAAAATATTTTTAAATTATTGCATAATTTTATAAAAGAAGGACCAAATAACTAACTTTAAAACGTTCTTTATTTCTTTTTCATTTTTGAGGCTTTTTCAAGACTCTGATTCTAATGCAAAAATCTCTCGCACAGGCAACTAAGTAAGCCTATTTGCTTATAGCTGGACATGATCAGCATCAGAAATCATAATAACGTCAAACTAATAAGAAATATAAAACTTTTTAGCAAAGGCAGTTTCTCTTACTAATAGTCATTAAAAAAGGTTTTTCTAACCTAGAAGTAAACTGTTATTACTAATGATTTTTTATTTTGTATTAGTTTGACTTTATTATGGTTTTGATGTTTATTATATCAATCCATATGTAAATGAATTAAGCCAGTTGTCTGTGCGAGAGAATTTTGAGTCAGAATCAAAGTCACAAGGAAGGTTGCAGAGTAGGATAAAAAATAACGCCTAACTATTAATAAAGAAATTTAGCTCCTTAAAGAAGGTTGTCAAGTTGATATTTGGTGTTCATTTTACAAAATTTACTCTCGAAAAAATGAGCGAGTGGAGTTAATAGAAGAACATTATTAAATATGATATAAAATGTATTTAAAATTTACTATTTAATCTTTTAATACAAAACAACCTTAAGAGTGGCAGCTATAAGTAGGTGTAAAACGTGATAACGATAATTATATTTATTTTTTAGCAGATGACCAAGACAGTTTAAAAGAAATCGCATGTATTACTGCGTTTGACCATGATTTATCAGATGAAAATAATGGATTAACTTATTACCTGGCTCACCTAACAAGAGGATTTACCATGAATCCCATTAGTGGAAGACTCTTCATGAATTGCACAGAGTTATTGAGGCCTCTGCCAAAAGAAATTGTATTAGAAATTGTTGCAAAGGACTCCGGAAAACCATCACTTAATGCAACTTGCTTAATCATAATTCGTTTGACCGAACCAGGTCATAATATGTTAGATAAACAACACTCTCTTGCCATTAAAGAAAATGCAACAGTTGGAACAGTTTTGATGGCACTATCAGATATAGATTTAGTAAATGCAGTTATCACTGCAACTGATGGAATCGGAGTATTTGAAATATCGGAAGAAAGAATTATATTAGTCAAATCTCTTGACCGTGAAACTAAAGAAAGGTAAAAATAATCAACACTTTTTCCAAAATACGATAACACTTAAGAAAAAATATTTTTTTATTATTGGTTGTCTTCATTTCTCAATGTGAGAACAATACATACCTGTTATTTTCTCCATCGAAGCTTTAGTGACCACTTAAGGAGTGAGGGTAGTATTTTTTCAGACAGTTTCATAGATATATGGCATATGGCTGGCATATAACCGTCGTAGATGTTTTCTGAAATTTAAATCCATGCAAAAAATTCTTGTTATTGTAAAGCAAATATAATTGCCATAGCTCGTTTAAATGCGCCATTATTAAATAATTTGTTAAATAATCTATGCATTAACGTTTATAAAACTTATTTCGTTTATCTTTCAAGAGTAATAAATTTTCTATTTACNAAACCTTATTGAAATGATAATTAAATATATTATTTATCAAATAAAACAAGATTCAGCTGCCAAGAGCTGCCTATTCATCTTTTATGTCCTTTTTTCGAAAACAAATTGATAGAGAGCGACAGAGAGAGAGAGAGAAACAAAATATACACATGGTGCAAATCTATAATTATTAATAGTTATAAAAAGTGTTCCTCTATCAGCTTTTCCAGAGACGACCCATTGATTTTATTCACTAGAGTCATACTGTAACATAAAACAGTTGATTCGTCCACTATAAAATCCTTACATTTATTGACTAACGTTAAAATACGCACTTGCAAGCAAGGTGAACGATATCTAGGCGTCCGTCGTTATCTATAATGTGAGGGTGATTGGTAGTCTTATGAAAAAATGATACCCTAATGGTGAAATTTTTCAATTCTGCTGCGCTCTCCCTCTCCAATTTTTGTCGATACATGAATCATAAGGATGTCCTGTAGATAGTACACCATTTATTTTTATCACTTACGATGCTACCAAAAAATCTGCTAAAACATGCTTTACTACGAGCTCAGACCTATATTTGTCTTTCTTTTATTCATCCGATAAGTATTCGCGAGTAAATGTTGGATTTTTCCTACATTCTTTCTCAAAACATGAAAAGGAGTAAGTGACGACAGTTGAAAAGTATCCAATTATCTCTCAGCTGCAATTTATTTACTGTCCCTAAGCTACAATATTTTTAATCTTTTTCAAAACATGAAGAACTATAAAAAATAGTGGTGGAAGTGCGTGATATCTCTTGGTAGTAATATTCGACGTTATATTGTTCCTGGAGAATTTTTCATGCACTGACAAGAGTAGAGTGATTTGTCTGTGTGCACCTACTACGTTTATCATACATTGACCAAAATTTAGGCTAAAAGGGGAGAAGTATAGAAGTAGGTAGGTAGGGAAAAGAAGAAAACTTGAAAGAAAATCAGTCCCTATACGACATTCTTAGCTGAATTATATTTTCTTGCTGATACGCTGCAATATCTTTACGTGTTACATCTCGTTTGAAGATTTTTTCAATTTACTTGAAAGTTTAAGTCAGTGTAATTCTTGCATTTACTTGAGGTTGTTTAACGCCTGTAACAGTGTATTTCTATTATTGCATTGCATTAGGTTTTTCTAGTAACTCCGTTTTTGTCAGTTTGTGTATTTTGGGTGCTTATTTAAATTTTATTAACTTCAGTAACAGTGTGTTTTTTACTGAAGTGATGAATTAGTTTTTACTAGCTACACCGTTTTTCTTAGTTTTTTTCCACTTAAATAAAAAAGTAAAATGAAATCATCTACGAGCGTGGCTTTGTTCGGGTAGTTCGCTCTTGTACGTGATACGCAACTATCGTGTCGGAAAATGCGTTTAAGGTGCACAGCAACAAGTGGTTTAGCGACGTGCTACCTGCATACTCCGTGAACGAATTAATAGGAGTATTGCAGGAGCTTTTGACTATTCACCTGATGGGGGTGTATGCGGTTGCGTTGTACCCTCTTTATCTAGTGTGTAGTCCTATAGCTATACAAGTGGTGGTAGAATGTCTACCGTCTAAAGCTAGAAACATCGAAATGTTGAAGAAAATGTACGAGGCGTACAATAGAATTGGTAAATGATATAGTTTTACTATATATTTTTTATACTAACAAAATTTTGCATGATGAGAAAAAATTAAACAAAATACTTTTTTAGTTGCCAAAATCTGTTTTGAAGATTCCAAAAAGCTTTTAAACAACGACGGTACGCTTAAGGGAAAGCAAGAGGACCCCTTGGATAATGGTATACCTGGATTGTCAGGGTTGAAGTTTTCTTACAAGAAGAAAAAAATATCTCCAGGTAAATTAAAATCTTCACGTACATGTCTTCTTTCTATCGTTAATTTTAACCTTCAAATTATATTTATTTTAAAATATTGTGTAGAAATCCTGTGTTCAGATGTATGAGAAAGAGAGAGAGAGAGAGCTGCAAGAGTAGAGAGTAAATTTGTAATTTGAGTAGTAGGTATGCTTTCTCCGTGTAAGTCTGTGTGTTGTTAGTTATTAACTAGACAAGGATAGCTTGCTTTTCTTTATGCGTGGGGGAAAATTTCTTGAGGTAATCGATGGTGCGAGGTGTATTCGAGTTTAGTTTTTCGTTCTGTTCGGCCGGAGCAAGCAACTGGGAAGCCACGGAGTCGACTCTTGCTCAAACTTGGATATTCGAGAGAGCGACAAGACTACAACTTATCAATTGCCATGGACTTCATCAGCAACGAGCAGCCTTTTGGAGGCACGTAATAAGAACTTATTACAACTATTTTTTATTTGACAAATACAGTCGATGGATTTGAGAGTGCTCCTATCAACAACCCCAGGAGCACCCTCCGTGTCATCACGATCATCAGGATGGAAGAGGCGTTGCGAGCGTCATAGTGCAGACTGAGGAGGAACCAGACATGTCAAAAGGTACAAAATATATAACTTTATAACTATATTATAACTGTTATTAAAAATAATTACTTTTCTCATAATTATCTTGTGGCGATGAACTTGCACTCAGACGCGTTAACCGAAAGATCGGTGGGTACTACAAACTTATTAATCAAATAAGTTTCAACGAAATCTGGAGTTTGTGGAAAAAAATCGAACCAAGCAAGTGAATCATTGACATCGCGAAAACTTCAGTAGTTGAGGTTACATATGTCCAACTCCCTCAAAGGTGGGGTGCGCCGGAAGATGTATTAATTAATTTAAGTAAAAGAGGCATTTTGGTGATAAATAATAGAGATAATCTATGTTTAACTAGGGCTCTTGTATGTGGTAAAGTTTTGACCATAAAAAATTGTTCAACTGATTGGTCCCAACAATGGAAAAAAATAAAAACCGAAAATAAACAAAAGTCAGATGGTCCCAACAAAATGGTGCCAACAATGGAAAAAAAAAAACCGAAGATAAACAAAAGTCAGAAGATGTTAAATGAATACAAGAGTGTGACATTGAAGTAAGTAATGAACAAGGGTATGGGTAAGTGGAATTTTCTAAATTTCAGTGATATTTTGAACAACATAACATGTGTATTCGGATAATTGAATGTAAGTTTTTTGGTGAGGATACAGCTCTTATATACGACCGTTCTAATGACGGAGCAGAATATTGAACATCATTTGTAAACATCGTGTATTATGATGACGTGGAGCATGATAATTTAATTAAAAGTTTATTAACTATAAGACCAACGTATTTTTGTGCAATGTGCAATAAGAACTACAAGCGCGTAGGTGAGCATGTTTGTAAATCGGTTTGCCCTGCATGCAACGAGTCGCCAAATTGTAATAATACCAACGATACGTTAAAAAAATCTTGTACTGATTGTAGGAGAGAATTTTACGGGGATCAATGTTCTAATAATCATAAGATAAAAGGGTCATTTGTGCGTAAAAAAATCACAAAAGAGCGACGAGGAGCATATGCGATGTAGTTAAAATTTGTAATTTATGTGACAAGCTTATAAACTACGCTAAAGGTAAGCATGATTGCGGTAAAAAATATTGCAAAGAGTGTAAGAGCGTTCATAAGTTTAACACGTCTTATAGTATGCAACCTATTACATTAAAGCATAATTTTATTACATCCGAACTTCTAAGTGAAGGGCGGAACTCGTAGATTTGTTCTACAAACAAATAAATTTAATTTTTATTTGTCAGGAACCAGCCGTCGGCCCAAAGTCCTTATTTGCTCTTACTTGCAGTATGCTTTTCTTTTAAATTGTTCACTCGGCGCGAAGGCCGCACAGTGTGGCCAAAAGTCCAAAAAATAAGTTTCTATTTAGGGTTTTTTCACCCTTGAGTTGGCTGCAATGATCCTCCAAGAAACTAAAATCGTTGTTCATAGTGATGACTAATTCGTCATGCCCCTTCCTTAGGTTCAGTTGGAATGTGGCCTTCGCTCGAGCGTCACTCTACAGTTAATACACTGAGAACGGTTGTACAGGTGAAAAATTTTATGTAATAAAGAAAATCAAATAAGACCAAATGGAATCCACTTCTGAAGGTGAGTAGAACATGTAAAAAAAGTAATAATTATCAATTGTTTAGTAGTGAATTAGGGAGAACATAAACAATAGTGTCATTTTTTCACATAATTTTTCCGAAAATTAGACTTTTCAAATAATACTGCATTAAAACGCTGCAAAACGCTGCTTTAAAACCTTATTGAAATGATAATTAAATATATTATTTATCAAATAAAACAAGATTCAGCTGCCAAGAGCTGCCTATTCATCTTTTATGTCCTTTTTTCGAAAACAAATTGATAGAGAGCGACAGAGAGAGAGAGAGAAACAAAATATACACATGGTGCGCTTCTCTTTTATCTGAGGCTGCTACCTATAGTTTACTGTGATGGAAAATGGGAGAGTATGTGCGTGTACATGAGTATGTATATGTGAGTGAGTATTTATTCGTGTGTATGGGTGCGAGCGGCGCGCACGCAGCAGGAATCTCAAACGTCGCACCAAAGCCTATTCAAAAGTGTACTATATAGATATACTTTAACGTTAGGGTTCAGTGCGACATTTGAGCTCGCTGGCGTGCAGCAGTATTTTCTTCTCATTCTTCTT